ACAAGAGGTGTGATGCATTCCAACAAATCCAGAGGTTTTGCTTATTGCTATGGAGTAGGAGCAAGTTTTCGACCCTTGCACAAACCTCAGTGGTTTCTGATAAACAGAAAGGTAATATTGCAATTACTGATAAAAAGTTGTTAAGACCCCCAGCTTACTCAGAAACAAGCTAAAACATAAGCGACCATTTTGAATATTGAATCCATTAGCTTTTAAGGTATTTGAAAAAAGAATGTTAAAAAAAATTGAGATTGTGGGCTTATTCTAGCTAATTCACTGCAATGCACTGCTAGGCCCTAGGTAAATCTTGGTTTTGTTTTGTATCCAACCTGTGATTTACCAGTATAGATCTATACCTGCTCTTCCATTTACAGTCAGACCCCAGGGTTCTGACAGTCACTTTGGCCTAAAAGGGCCCAGATTCAGGGCCTACCTCAGATACATTGGAGGAGTAACAGACACTTGACCTCTCAGTGCCCTAACAGAGACAAAGATCAATTTATCAAAGAATCAATGTGAGCAGCGAGGTGGTACAGTGGATTGAGCACTGGCCCTGAAGTCAGGAGGACTCGAGTTCAACTCCAGCCTTAGATGCAAAACACTCACTAGCTATGTGACCCTGGGCAAGTCACTTAACCCCACTGCCTAGCCAAAAAAAAAAAAAAAGTACCAAGAAATCAGTGAACATTTATTTATTGAATACTTGCTCTATGCCAGGCACTGTGCTAGGCCTAAAGATCCAAATACAATGAATGAAACAATGTCTACTCAAAAAAAGTTGACATTCTGATGGGAAAGAAAGGAAGAGAGGACACCAGTGAACCAAAAATAAGTGTCATATTCCTCAAGTAGCTTTTCTGGGTGGGGATTTTTCATGTGCTCATATTAATAAATACACAATTACCGAAGTAACCTCGAGAGGGATAGAGTACTAATAACTGGAAGGATTGGAGAAAGGCACTTGTTAGGAAGTGACAGCTGAGCCATGCCCTGAAGGAAATTAGGGATTCTGAGAGGCAGCACTCACAGAAAAAGGTGAGGCTTAGTTGGCTAAATAAAAATGTAAGATCAGTAATTTTTTTTTTTTGGTTGAAAATTATAAATGAAGGAGCCCCTCAAGAATTTCCATCTGATTTCTCTTTGTGAGACATATAAGGAATTCTTAGAATAGCCCTGTCAAGGCAACCATGTACCATGATTCAGAATGAATATTTCTTACAATTTCAAGAAAATTCTTTGAATGCCAAGCTTAAAGAGAGCTTTATATGTTAAATAAGATAATGTGTAAATGGTACTTCATGGAGATATATCTTAAAACCCTGAAAGTTCTCATGTATGGCGGGCTATAAAGAAAATTAGATTTGGGATCCAAGGTAATTTAGGTCATAGATTTATAAATAAAGTTTCCTTAATTTTATAATGATATATTTTCCTAACTCCAGACCTTCTCTTGATACTTGAAAAAGCCAAAGTTCCTATTAATTCTTTAAGGCAATGCTGAGGCAGTTAATAGAAGAGTTAATTTGATAATCCAAGAAGTTCTTGGACATTTATTTTAAATGCTACAGTTTCCTTGGCAGAACTTAATTATTTTTATTTTTCTTCCTTTTACTTTCCTTTTGCTAAACAGTATCGAGAAAATTGCCTGGCAGCAAAATCACTTTTTTCCAGTTTCTGCTTACCCCCTTTGTGCCTTCAAACACAGCTGTTGCCATACCTGGCTTTGCTAACAAATCCAATGAGAAATCAAGGTAATAATAACAGACCTAATGTGTTGGTTATTTTTTTGCTTAACTATTCTGATTTGTTACAAGGGGTAGGGTGTTCAATTCTTGGGGTAGGGTAATATTGTAAAATGAGTATGGTATAAAAAAGGGGTGAGCAGCCTATTAGTAAAACCTTTTAAAGATGAAATCAAGGTCATAATGTGAATTTTAATATTTCCTAAGAAGGGTTTTTTAAAATAACATCTTACTATATTAATTCATTTCTCAGTACTGTAGTAAATGTGCCCATTGCTTAGTGTTAAATGAACTGTGAAGAACAGGGAGAGAATTCCACTCAAATTATTAGTGAGTTCTTAATCCGTTCTTTACAAATGTATATTTATAGCAGTACCTTACCCTTAAATGATAGCCTAGCCTTAAAAGCAATCTAGCTCCAATTCAGTTAGAGATCATAATCTGTTGAGGTTGACTCCAAGGTGCCTAGTTTAGTTCTGGGGGTGATCTGGAATTTGGGGTATATAGGAACCAGATTTGAAACTATACACTATAGTGTATAGGACCCCTAAATTAGCTTTAGAATCAAAACTGGTTTCCCGGTGGTCCCCTAAACTAGAAATGACTTAGTTGTTTCATACTGTAGCACATAGTAGAATGTTAGGCATCTGCAGTAAATTCTTTGTTATTCTATTGACACTCCTGCATCCTCTCCATTATGAATCTATACACTTGGGCTGGAGGAGAACCCAGACATCCATGGCTGGAAGGACAAAGAATGGTTTTTTCTTTTTCTTTTTTTTTTTTTTTAGGAGTAGTTTTTCTGAAAGCATTCTCATTGTGTTCTTTGGTGTCTTGTTATTACTTACATTTTGTAAAGAAAAGAAAGAAATCTAATTCCCAAAGAAGCAATTTGAAACTAAACAATGATGCTCTCAAGCAGAAGGCATTCTGCCTAGTATGTGGAATAAAGGGAGATTAAGACCAGGAAAATGCTGCCCAGAAGAGGGAAGCAGGAATCTCTGCCTGTACCAGGGGCAAAGACTAGTCGGGTTAACTATAGTTTTAAGAATCTGTTGGGTAGACAAGACAGTGTACTGATAATTCATAAATCTGTGGGTTAGTAATGTTTCTTAATTGAATCAAAAAGTACCTATGCGTATATATTAGGATTTTGTACCCTGTATATATATATTTGATCTAGTTTGAAATTGTCTTTTTTCTTCTCCCTTTCCAGCTCAGATTGCTTTTATCCAGGATGTTGGAAGGCTTCCCCTAAGGAGGTTTTTCGGAAGGTAACCAGAGTTGTTGGGCAGTGTTCCCTGTCTTATTTCTGTTTTCCTGTAGTATATATTAGCAAACCCATCTAATCCAAGAAATACATTTTATCTGTCATATTCCAAGTCACTGATATTAATATCTACAGTTAGTCATAAGCTACCATAAGAAGCCACTATCAGCATTATATAAATTTCTTTTCCTTGCCTAATTGATTTAAGCATTTGGGTTTTAAGATTATTAGTAGTATCCATATTTAAAGTAAATACTTTTCAAATCATTAATAATTCTTTATATCTTAAGCACCCTGGGGAAGAGAGTCAAATTTCTCCCACTCTTCAGCTGATAATACAGCTGGAAATCTGTTTCCTGAAGCATTCAGTCATTGTTTGATTAGCAGTTGGTGGGTATAATCCACATCCAATTAAGATTTTACCAACATTATGGCAACATTTCATCATGTTACCATTCATGATTTTTTATGATGGAAGGAAATGTTTCATTGAGGTAGATCAAAGGAAACTACTGCCTAAATTCAAAAACGTTTAGGGTAGAAGGAGGAAGGAAGGGAGTAGTCTTGTCAATTATCATAATTGTAGCATAGTTCAAAGAACTATACTAGTCAGTTATTAATAGATGTGATGTAATTCTAACAGATTGAAAATGGAAGCTCTAACTGATAAGGATTCTGGAATGATAGACTCTGCTAGTGATGATGAGGCTAATTTTGATGGAGCACCACTTACAAAGCCACTTATGCACATGGACAACATCAAAACTTCAGAGACTGATACAGAAGCATCCTTATTTCTTCCTTCAAGTCAGACTAGTGGAACAGATCTACCTGCCAGCCAGACACAGCCTGCTACAGCTCAAGGATTCATGGAGGAAGAGGAGATCACAATAGAGGAATATGACAGTGATTGAAATGTAGCCAAATAATCTACCTGAGGGTCACATGCTCTTTGACAGATTCATTTTAATTTTATTCAGTGATAAATGAAGTTACTTGAATAAAGTTAATATACTTTCAGTACTATTGAAATGATTGTATTGTTAAAATTTCACTTGTATGGTGTATGGTCTATATTTGCATAGTGTATATAGTATGTACACTTGTATTGCTATACAAGTCCATTTATGGGACCAACTATCTTTAAAAGGAAAAAATATAAATTCAATCAGGCTTTAAATGTTAAGTTAAATCTGAACCTTTTTTAGTTAAAGGAGTATTGATAATCAAAAGACAGACAAATATTTTTATGTAAAAGTTATTAAGTTTTTGAAACTAAGCAATTAGTAAATAGTAAGACTTAAGTTATTTTAAAAATTTTCCACTAGTATTTATTTAGTTCTACAGGTGGTGTACAGTGGAGAGGTCAACATTTATGAGCAAGTTCCTGTGAAGGTTATGCTAAATATAAAAAATGTGAATAATGCATAATTTGGGAATATTGTACATATAAATTGTAAAACTAAAATAGTTCACCTGTAAACAAGATGTAAATAAACTTACCCTTGTGACGATTTTCTGTTTTCTTTTACCTGTCTATATTTTTATAAATGTTTAAAACGTGAAAGCCTATGTTATATGATTTTTGGATAAATTATGCAAATACCTACTTAAATGTATCAAATATTTTTAAACAAAAACATTAAATGCTTTTTATTTCTTCAATATTTACGATTTCGCTGGCACTGACTTCCCACGTATTTCGTTAAGGCAACGTGAACTTTTCCCGATTTTTAAACGCTGTATACAAATGTGTAAGAAAGGAGCCGAAACGAACACCCCGCTCTGCGGCCGTCCCTGGGCAGTGTCCGGGAGGGGAGGGCCCCCCCCCACCGCGGCCGCCTCAGCCGCCGTTCCCAGCAGCTCCTCAGTTTTCTTGGGCCCCGCGCTCCGGTAACAAGGAGCGGAGTGAGCGAGCCCCTCCCGACCTGTGCAGGGCACTTCCGGCCCGGCGGCGAAGGACGTCGGCCGCCCGGCCCCGCCCCGGAGCCTCGCTCGGTTTCTGCCTCCCAGGTGAGTCCTCGGAGAAACTAGAGGGCGAGTCACGTGACCCCGGAGAGGCCCTGCGGGAGGGGGCGGGGAGGGACGCGCGGGCGGGGCGGCCAGGTGTGCGCTGGGCGGGACCGGCACCGGGACCGGGACTGGCGCTCTCTGCCTTCCCCTTCGCCGCCGCCGCAGCCCGCTGGTCCGAGCCCGGGGCCGCCTGCCCGGTAAGTGAGGGAGCCCGCTCAGGGCGGGGGCGGGGGGTCGGAGCGGGACTGGGAGATAAAGGGGCTGTTGGTGGCTTACCGGGGGTCTTCGCGCGTCCCCGAGGAAAGGAGCGAGCCGCCCCGGAGGCGAGAGCGGGCTTGGGCACCGGGGGCGTCCGACCCGGCGCGGGCCGGGCAGGACCCGGAGCGCGGCCGTCCCGGCGCGGGCCGGGCAGGACCCGGAGCGCGGCCGTCCCGGCGCGGGCCGGGCAGGGTCGGCCCGGGGCTGCGCTGCCTCCCGCGTGGGGAAAGCCGGCCCTGACGTAGTTAAAAGTTACTTTCAAGTACAGGTTAACGACAATCCCAGGCGATCCCCAGACCTCGGGGCGTGAGGAAGCTGGACCGAGGGTTCGACAGAAATGAGATTTGGTATCAGGACACAGCTGCCCAGGAAGTCCACTATTTCTAAGCTTTCAGGGTGAGTTAGCTGTTTTGCAGTAGAGTCGGCCTGATGTAATGGAAAGAGCCCCAGTGGGAGGCATAGAACCTGGGCGCGAATTCCGTCTTGTTCACTGCTGAGCTGTGTGACCTTAGACAAGTTACTTAACCTCTCTGGGATTCGAGTCCCTCATCCTTAAAAAGAGGTGGTTGGGACTTTTTTCGCTTCGGGACCACTTTACACGTCCCCAAATGCTTTTGTTGATTATCTCTATTGATGTTTACAGTTTTAAGAATTAAAACGGCTTACTATTATTATGAAAATAGTTTTGACCTGACAGACCCCACTGAAAGGGTCTCACGATGACCTCCGACCACAGTTGTAGAACCATTGAACTAGATGACCTCTAAGGAAGATCCCTTCTAGCCCTCCAACCGTGATCTTTTGAGCCCAAAAATAGTTGTCTTTGAACATGGAAACCCTGAAAAATCTGAGGTATCTCACATTGACCAACAAACTGTCTGGCTATATTTAAACTGAAATCTGTGAGTCTGTCTTTGTTATTTTGGAGGAAGGAGGCACTTTCATGTGAGATTAGCAAATGATAATGCATTTACCCACCATTATTACACTTAGCCAAATTTCACTTTCAGAAAAGAATGTGAACACATGGAGAACAAAAACAAAAAACACAAGCCAGTTGCTTTTGGATGGTGAGCCTGTTTTTAAAAACATTGAACTGCAAGCTTGAATCAAAATAAAAAACTGTTCAACTGGAACACCAGAATACTCCCTGAACCAAACTTGAATGGAATCAGTTTTTAATTTATTTAGAGCCCTTAGGAAGTGAATAGGGTACACACACATTTAAGAAATGAATTAGCATCTCCACTAGCTATTACAATGAAAATATCCACTTGAATCATTTGATTCATGTTGTTCCACTTTTCTCCAAATCCCAGTGATTTAAACATGCCGCTTCTCATCTCTGGGCCTCCTTTTCCCCTCTGTGAGATGAGAGGGTTAAACCAGATGATATCTCAAGATCCTTCCAGCTCCAGTACTTTTTATATTAATTCTAGTAAGTTATTGGCAAGATAACCTGCTACTAGAGAACAAGCTGCATAGGTGAAAGTGAATAGTAACCCCTTTGGTTTAGGGACAACCTAACAGCAAATATTGAGTCACTGACCCATTAGTCTTCTCTCGGAAATTTAAAATTGTTAAGCTTTATAAGCCTCCATGTAACTTTTGTGAATTGCACAGTGACTAATGGAACACGTCTCTTATGCTTTCACAAATAATTTGCTGATATTTGAGAAGGGAAAAATTGAACAATTTTACCCTTAGGTATTATTTTGGCACACTATTTCCTCCTCCTGAACATGGGTCCAGATGATTAATTTCAATTTAGAAATTTACTTAAAAGTAATCCACTGTATAACTTTTATGGCAACTTGCAAAAAAAGAACTTAAATGCTGATTTTGTGAATTCTTTTTCAGTTGATTCCTGAAATGCATTTTCCAGGCTTAGATAGAGGGCTAAAGTTGAAGATTAACCAAAAGCTCTTATGAAAGTAATGCATTTTGTGGGGTGGGATTCCCTTTTCTTGCTTAAACACAGCCCTATTATTCTAACCTTCAGGACAGGGAGAGAGAAAGATTTATGTTTTTTAAAATTTTATGATTTTGATTGATGTGCTTTTTTATGTTTTTCAATTGTTACTTTTTTTTGCTCCGAGGCAATATGTCACCATGGATTTAGTTTTGAAAATCTGAAGTGTTGAATATTTATCATTCCTGTTTTATACTGAATAGTTATGCTGAATTAGCTTTTTTAATCCCAAACCTTTTGATTTTATCAAGGTATACCCCTAATTAGCTTTCCTAATTAAGACAAAATTGATTCCTTGTACTGTGGATAGCCTCCCAATTTGGTTGCAAGGAAATGTGAGCCACCTGAGAAGAGTATTGTTTCCTGACTCATCAAATTACTGATATAATCATACTCTCAATATTTTGCTTCAGCATCTGAGAACAAGAATTTATCTGTGAGTTCTTTTTAAAATAGTATTTAAGGCTCATCTGAGAGAGGTTATTTTCATTTTTTACAAAAAATGCCTACATAGTTTTTTTAAATTGTTTTACAGAGAACACAGATGCAAATAAATAATATTTCAAATTATATTTTGAAATTTAGAACTAGTTTTAAAATCTGGGGATTAAATTTGTGTCTCAGACTATCTCCGTATAATAGAATTGCCAAACATTCAGTTCCGATGATGAGACATTTCAATTTTTGATCCTCACAGTATGAACAGAAAGAGAACTTTGGCTACTGCTTGTGTAAGAGGAGGGGATAATCTGAAGGAGAATATAACTATGCATAATATATAACTTTAATTTTCTGAAATAGGAGTAAGAATCACAAATGTCGTCAAATGGTGTGGTGTCTGAGAGAAGATCTAGGAATCCAGGCAGAGTTTGTGATGATGTTCCGGGAGACTCCTCCCATCTAGATGGTACACTGAGGACACTTGAGAGTCTTAGAGAGAGTGAATTAGCTGTGAGCGCAGATCCTTTGCCGCCCCCGCCTCTCCCCTTACAGCCACCATTTGGCCCGGACTTTAATTCGAATGACCCAGAAGAGCCAGTTCTAGCTCCAGATATCAAACCTGTGAGGAGGTTCGTTCCAGACTCTTGGAAAAACTTCTTCAAAGGGAAAAGGAATGACCCAGAATGGGACAGGCCTGCGTCTGACATTAGGTATATTTCTGATGGTGTTGAGTGTTCTCCACCAGCCTCACCAGGAAGATCAAATTATCCCAGTGACCCTAAAGATCCATACAGAGAGTCCAGTGGAACTTACAGTTCACGGAAGGAAACTGAAGCATTTCTCCCCCAGGATTCATGTGGATCCCTGGGACGACACACGCAAACAGCCCTGACTTACAGCGAGAAGGTGGAAGAGTACAACCAGAGATACTCCTACATGAAGTCATGGGCAGGACTACTGAGAATCCTTGGTGTTGTGGAGCTGCTTTTAGGGGCAGGTGTCTTTGCCTGTGTCACAGCCTATATACATAAAGACAATGAATGGTATAACCTGTTTGGATACTCACAGCCCTATGGTATGGGCACCGGTAGCCTGGGCAGCATGTATGGAGGCTACTATTACAGTGGCCCCAAAACCCCTTTTATACTTGTGGTTGCTGGGCTAGCTTGGATTACAACCATCATCGTTCTGGTTCTTGGCATGTCCATGTATTATCGGACCATCCTTTTGGACTCTAGTTGGTGGCCTTTAACTGAGTTTGGAATTAACATCGCCCTCTTCATTTTGTATATGTCTGCTGCCATAGTCTATGTCAATGATACCAACCGGGGTGGACTCTGCTATTACCCTTTATTCAATACACCAATAAATGCAACGTTTTGCCGAGTAGAAGGAGGACAGATAGCAGCAATGATATTTTTGTTCGTTACCATGATTGTTTATCTCATTAGTGCTATAGTTTGCCTAAAGTTATGGAGGCATGAGGCAGCAAGGAGGCACAGAGAGTATATGGAGCAGCAGAGGGTAAGTAGTAAAGCTGTTATCTGATGGTCCTTTATTTGTTTATTTATTGCCTTTTGTGTTTCAGTTTTCAATAAATATTCCTATGCCAAGATAGCTACTTCTTAGTTCCTTATTGTCCTACAGGGCAGAAGGAATAAATCTGTTAATGTAGAGAAGAACATTTTTGTGTTCTAGAATGTAGAAATCCTTGCCCTGTGCTACTGATACGTCATGGCATTCCTTTTATTCCATTCTTGTATTTGACCATCGTACCACTTTGAAAGTGGGCCGCAATTCTTAATATATTGTTTGTCTTTTAAGTCATTATGTTTGTCGCTATTTGAGGTGAATTTGAAGTTGCTAACTAAATGAAATATGGCCTCTGAGGTTCCTTCCAGGTTTAAATCTGTGAACCTATGGTCTTGTTTTTTAATTATTAAAATCAAATTCTTAAGAGAATACTGATAACTAATACATATTAAGAAGTCCTTTTTTTGTTCATTGAGTTAAATTAAAGCACATAGATAGATATGCTATTAGTTACCTATAGTTTGCTAAGTTATCAGATAACTGAGATTCCATGAATCGGTATTTTTACTGAAATAATACTGGGGCTGCTGCATCTAAAATTTCTTAGAAATGTGTCAGGGTTTTTTTTAATTACTCAACTATCTGCTTTCACATATCAAGACATTAAGAAAATATCTGCTAGGGCATTCTGGAAGCCCTTTTTTTTTGAAAACATTGTTGAAATTACTTTAAATGAACCACAGTAAAAAATATTAAGAGATACTTTTATAAACTCCATTTTATATTGAAACAAGTTGGTGTTTTTCTTTCTTACTCTAAGGAAGTGTGTTTAGTGGAATTTCCTGCGCCAGTGAAAGGGTCAGTATTTATCTTCATTTCAATCAGCTACCAAACCATGGATTCTCTTTTTACCACACTAAGATATCAGACAACTTTATAAAAGTGCACGCCATATAGTATGGCTAGAGCTACACTATACCTGAGAAGTGAAAATGGATGCCTGTGATGTTATCATTAATACATACTAGCATAAACATCCTATTTTGATTTGCAATTTGATCTAAAAAAAATTTGAATAATTTGAAAATATATATAACATGAGGAACCTCAAAATACCTTTTCTTTTCCAGGTGTTCTGCCTAAGTTATTGGTACAAAATTCAGGGCTTAGGCTGTGGCAGAGCTTGACCTCACTTTGTGCTTTCCCCAAAAAGAGTGCTTCTTACCTTTACTCTTTATATCGACTCATAGAGCCGGAAAATAAAATCTAACCTAACTCTTCATTTTATAAATAAGGAAATGGAAACACAAAGAAAAGGGACTTGCCCAAGGTCACACAGGTTGTTGGTAGTAGAACCGTAAGTGTAATCCATGTTTCCAGATTGTTGGTGAAGAGCGAGTTCCACTGTATTAAGCGACATTAAAGTTAGCCAAGCTGTGGTGTTTGTGTTTGTGTGTATAAGGAATGACCTGAAGCTTTTTTTTTCTGTTGACTCCATGTTCCATTTGGATAACCTCTTAATTATTAAATCTGAAGATAGAAATTGGGTATCAGTGTCCTCCTAAGAATTTACTTGATTTTTACAAATCAAAAAGACCACCATAGGATCATAGATTTATAGCTGGAAAGAACCTCAGAGGGCGTATAGTCCATTTGGTTAGCAATCTCAACTAATCATTTGACTGTCATTTTCACTTTAAACATCAGACACACACAGTGATTCAGAGAACAAACATTATAGTGGGAATATCTTCTTACTGCCCCTGCCAGCTGTCTCCTCAGCAGTTATGAAATGTCAAAAGGTAAAAAAGGTACTTGGTTCATTTATTCAGATTTCCAGCAAACATTTTAATAAATGCACTTAGGAGCTGAGGAAACAGGTAAAGATACATTTTTAGATTTTTTTTTAAATATTTTATTTTCCCCCAGTTACATGTAAAGACAATTTTTAATATTCATTTTCCAGAAATATTGAGTTCCAAATTTTCTCTCAGGACATAGACCCTATGCTCAAGGAATTTCCAGTCTAACAGAAACTTCTGCCCTGGGTCCCTGCTATCCTAATGGGTAACTGCCTCTCCCTCACCATTATTTTAGAAAAAATCCAGCCATCATACTTTTTACTTCACTCACTTGGCTGAGACCATCTCCTCCACATCCTCACTGCTACTGACCACTGCTCTTTTTCCAGTTATGAAACCATGAACAGATCCACTCTGTTCTTGTTCCTTAATGGAGTGTATCATTCTGCTTCCCCATGGCCTTACTCACTATATCTGTAACTTTCCAGGACAAAGAGCCTGGGTTCCATTCCCCATTTGAGTTTCTTCCCATTAGAAGGCTAGCTCTTTGTGGACAGGACTATCTTTGCTTTTGTATTTTTGTCCCCAGGACTTAGCATATAATAAATACCTTTTTAAATTTATAGTAAGAGAATCCATAAACTAGATCAGAAGGGTCAAATTGAAGGCCCCCTATTCTCACCCCTCCCAATGCATAGGCAACCAAATTAAAATGTAATTGGGAAATAATTAACAAAATAATTAAAAATACAGTTCATCACAGATAATGTTAATTTGTGAGGTTGTTTGTTTTTTTTTTTTTTAGGCAATTGGGGTTAAGTGACTTGCCCAGGGTCACACAGCTAGTAAGTGTCAAGTGTTTGGTCTGAGGCCAGATTTGAACTCAGGTCCTCCTGACTTCAAGGCCAGTACTCTATCCACTGCACCACCTAGCTGCCCCTGTGGTTTTGTTTAAGTCAGTATGCAGCCATGGGGATCCATTTCTATTTGAATTTGACACCACTGGACTAGATAATTGATCCTTAAGTAATTGGAACTTAAGCCCTGAATAAATATTTTAGAGAATGTCTTCACCTTATTTTAGAAAATTGTTTTTGCTCTTTTCCTTTCAGATAAGTGAGCCCTGTCTTGCATCAAAAAGAACAACGGTAAGAATAGTTAATAACTTTTATTTCATACCTTATGTTGAAAGTAGAGGAAGCTATACAATATGCTCTTTTTAAAAACTGATCTTATCTCCTGCATGATACAACTAAAGTCTTCTATATTCTCAATTCTTTCAATAACACAGATTCTTGATGTTTTTTTTAAATGCAAAAATGAATTAACTTCAGCTCATTATGCTTGAAAAAGTGAATCATTTTAGGCCTAAGGGAATTAAAAGGTGAGAAAAGTGTTACCTATATTCTTTGTGTTTAAGAGAATTTTGCTGTCATAAAAGTGGCTACATTCGTAACATTTGACTTTGTCAAATGTCTTGTTGAAATCAAGTTCACCAAAAATCTTGAAATTCTTGAAATCTTGAAATTGCCATGACTCAGGCATTCCCCCCAATCACAATCCAGAGACCTTATCCGAAAAGGAAACTTTGTTTTTCATGAGCCCTTCCTGTTTTCTGTTGCTCTCTGCATCCTCTTCTATGAGTTTCCGAACCATCTCTTTAATAATCTATTATTTTTCCAGGAATCAACATTAGATTCCAAAATCCACTCTTTCCCCATTCTTAAAACTGGGCCACTTGGCCATCTCTAGTTTTGTAACACCTCTCCTATTCATAATTCCTCAAAGATAACTGATGGTGTTTCTGTAATCACCTCCACTACAGCAAATGAAATAATATTTGTTAAGTGCTTAGGATAGTACCTGGCATATACTGAGAAACTAATAAATGCCTCTTTCCTTCTTTCTTTGATAAATTCTTGTTTCCTGCTTTCTTCTTGCAAGTTCTTTTAGCAGCCAGGGGATTCATTTAGGTCTAAAAATTTAAACTCACTTTTGAAATGTTTTTAAATTAAAAAAAATGTTTTTAAACATTTGAGTTCCAAATTCCCTCTCCCTCCCATTCATTGAGAAGGCAAGCAATCTAATACCCATTATTCATGAAACTTAAGCTCATTTAAAGAATTTTAGTTACTTTTTTAGAGAGGAAACACTGAATGGAGACCTGGCCTGCATGCCAGGAAGACCTGCTTTCAAGCCCTGCCTCTGACTCATGCTGGAGGTATGACCCAGAGCAATCACGTAATCTCTCGGTGCCCTGGTATGGTTTCTAAGATAAGGGTTCTTCTTTATCACCTTTTGTTTGTTGTGGACCCCTTTGGCAGGCTCTTGGAGACAGTCTGTAGATCCCTTCTCAGGACAATGCTTTTAAGTGCATAAAATACAAAGAATGATAAAGGAAAACAATCTTATTGAAACAGTTATCAAAATATATTCTAAGACAAATTTATGCATTCCAGGTTAAAAAAAAGAAAACCCTTCTCTTCTCAAAGACTGTAATTTGCAGAACAGTTGCTGATCTGTATTGGTTTTTTCCTCACCCAACATCGACGACATCATGGATCTGAGCCAAAGAAAAGTACTTTCTTATATTTTTCACCTGCCTTGGGCTTCCATTCCTTTAAAATCATACTTGTCCTACTATTTCCTATTCAGTGTGAAGTTCTCTTTTTTTCCATCAAGGAAAATGAAACAGAAAATTAACTTCTCTTTTCTGTCATCGTTATACTCTCTATCGTCACGCAGGAAAACTCATCGCTTCCTTGTTCTTGGTGCTCCTTTTTTTTTTTTTAGGGGGCCCCCCCTTTTGTTGTTGTTACTCTTGGCACATTTTGTAAACCTCAGTTCATTCTTAGCTTTAGCTTTCCTCACATTATTCTCCCCAGTCCATGCCAACATCTTGTATTTGTCTTTGGCCGCATGCCCCTCCTTCTGTCCTTCCTACATCTCCTGTCAAAATCTGATCTCCCTAGATCGATCCCATTGAAGCTACCAGGATTTCCTTAGATAGGTGCCCCTATTTTTGCACTTCAGGACCACGTCAGGTCCCATCTGCATTTTGTGTTTCAGAACCTCCTGTATCCCTCTGGAGTCATCCCTTTGAGCGCCTCTGACTGGAAGATCTTACCTATCCTTTCTGTGAACTCCTCAAATTCTGCTTTTCTGAAATCTGGGGTACCTCACTCACTAGACACTTCCCGTCTTTCATTCTTATAAATTCCAAGGTATATAAAGTGCTGAGCCTGGAGTCCGGAAGACTACTATTGGGAGGTCACTTACCCTCTCCCAGCCTAAGCGATAAAATGGGAATAATAATAGCACCTACTTCCCAGAGTAGTTGTAAGGATCAAATGAGATGATGTGTGTAAAATGCCTAGCACAGTATTTGGCTTAATAAATGCTAGTATTTTATTTTATATAATCACTTTTTCCAGAAATTTCTTTTATTTGTACATTTCTGAGCTCTTCCTTCTTAGAATAAAGTCCAGAATAGCCATTGTGCTTATTGCTTCCTCTGCTTTCTAAAAGGAAAAAAAGCCAACAAGGCAAGACACGAATTTATTTATTTAAGTGCTTTGCTTTTAGCAACTTGTCTCCACTCAGAAAATGGCCCCTCTGGTATTTCACTTCTGGTATTTGCTGACAAGACTCTATTATGAGGGAGTTGCTAAAGTAAAGAAACACAGTATTAGACCTCCCATCTGTGTTTCGGATCCTGTCCCTTTTCTTTGGTGTGCATTCTAAGCCTTCATATCTCAGAATCTGAAGTTAATAAATAGCATTTACCTAGAGAGGTCTTGAAGCCATTTTAACTTGCTGTTGTATGACTAGATTCGGGACCCATTCTGCACTTGACTTTTCCTAATTAACAGCAGATAAGGAGCACTTGAAAAGTGGAACATATGTATTTGTAGTCATTTAAGACATAACATAAGCAAATAAAAGCAAAAGTCAAAGAAAATAATCTGCACAAAATATGCTGAATCCTTAAGACACTCCCAACTATTTAAAAAAATACTTTTTTTAATTAAAAAAAAATCAAATCAAGAAGTTAGATGGACGGGTTGACACACCTGTTCAAGGCAGCTTGGAATGGTGGAATTGGAGTCTGAGGATCCAGGTTGGAATCCCAGCTGTGCTACTAACCACCTGTGTGACTATGGGTGAGTCATTTAACCTTGATAAACCTTAGTTTCCTCATCTATGAAATGAGCAAGATGACCTTTAAGGTCCAATCCATCTCTAAATCCAGACTCACCTGAAAGAACTTTCCCTACAATATATGTAAGTGTGTATGTCCTTGTCAGATGCTCCTGATGAGTGCCTGCTTTCCTTCTCAGAGTTTGTCAAGTTGATACCTCACTGCAGAGAATTAGGGAGCAATTCAAAGAGAATATTGTGTGTATTATCAGCTAATGTCCTTATATTGAGTTTTGTTTTTTAATTGTTTTCGTGACAAAGGAAGATGGGGGGGTTGAAGCGACTAAAGACAAATGACATTTTTTAAAATGTATTTAAAAAATTTTTATAAAGCAGCAATCCTCAAAACTACTTGGTACTGGCTAAGAAATAGAGTGGTGGATCAGTGGAATAGGTTAGGTATGCAAGACATGGTAGTCAATGACTATAGTAATCTACTATTTGATAAACCCAAAGACCCCAGCTTCAGGGATAAGAACTCACTATTTGACAAAAACTGTGGGGAAAACTGGAAAAGAGTATGGCAGAAAATTTTTAAAGAGCCAGCCTTAGGTGGAGAGGATATGAGAATTAACTATGTTGCTCAAGGAACTTTCTGATAGGTCTCAATTTTATTACCTAAGAATCTTTACATTTTTAGGTGTTTACTGTTGTTGATTATAATAATACTAAGTAGCTGGTATTTTAGATAGCACTTTAAGATTTGCAAAGTACTTTACAAATATTAGAATTTTATTTTCACAACAACCCAGGAGGTAAATGCTATTATTATCCCCATTTTACAGATAAGGAAACTGAAGCAGACAATAAGTGACCTGCCCAGGACATACTTTAGGTCCATTGCTCTATCCACTGCACCACCTAGCTGCCAAGGTTTAAGAAAGAAACCATGAAATAACAATCATTTAAGTAGGAAGAAAGATTGCCCTAAAGTTTTCTAATACCATTTATTCTCTCCACCTTGTGTTCTGGACAGGAGTAGGGGTGAGGTGATTAGTATGTAGGAATTAAGTGGGATGAAAAATGTCAACCTTAAAATGAAGGTCATGACCAAAAAAAGGAGGGGGGGTGCAGCTAGGTGGCACAATGGATAGACCACCGGCCCTGAAGTCAGGAGTACCTGAGTTCAAATCCGGCTGCAGACCAAACATTTGACATTAGCTGTGTGACCCTGGGCAAGTCACTTAACCCCAATTGCCTTTAAAAAAAAGAGAGAGAGAGAAACGTAGATAGGTGCCCTAGTCCACCTTTATTTGGAAGAAGGATAGCCGCCTCACCAGAATACAAATGAAGTTATTAGATGTTCAGAACAGACAGTCAACTCTGCCTTTAACAAATATATGTTAAGCATGTGGATCCTGCTTGAATCTTCACTTAACCCCACCATCCCTGCTAGCACACATCCTTTCTCTCTCTTCCCCTTCTCCTGATAATCCAATAAACTTCTTGGGTAAGTCATATACCCTAGCTGCCTCTGCTTCTTTTCCTCTTACTTGCTTCTAAACTCTGCAGTCTGGATTCAGACTTGATCATTCACATGAAACTAGTCTCTCCAAAATTACCAAGTAATTCCCAAATTCACTGGTCTTTTCCCAGTCTGCATCCTTGGCCTCTCTACCACCTTTGAGATTGTTAGTCACCCTCTTCTCTTGGATGATCTCTCCTGTCTGGGTATTAATCATGCTGCTGTATTGGTTCCTGGTTTTCCTTCTACCTCTCACTGACTGTCTCCCTTTTACTCTCCTTTGCTGGATCTTCAGCAGATCATGTCTTCTTTCTATGGGTTTCTTCTAAGGCTCTGTCCAGGTCCCTTTTCTCTCTCATACACCAGGGATTCTTAACCTGGGGACAGCAGTATTGGCTTGTTTTGGATTTTTTTTTTTAGTCCTTTGGTAACTGTATTTCAATATAATCAACTCCCTTTTTAATGCTTTTTAAAAATTTTGTGCATTTAAAAACATTATTCTGAGAAAGGTTTCCTAGACTTCACCAGACTGTCTAAGGGGTCCATGACACAACCAAGGTTAAGAACCCCAGTTCTACACTATCTCACTCAGTGATCTTGTCAGATCGTCACATGGATTCAGTTGTCATCTTTATGTAGATGAATCTCAGATTTGAATATCCATCACTATTCTTTCTTGAGGTCTAGCCTCACATGGATGTCTCAAATTGGAGATTCATGAGTCTTCCTGAATGCTAATAATCTGAGATTCCTTTCCATTGACATTCTATCTTGTGTGTGCATAAGTAGTTCTATGTTGTCTCTTCCAATAAAATGTGAGCTCCTTGAGAATACAAACTATTTTTGCCTTTTTTAAATTATTCTTAACCCTTAGCACTGTGCCTGGCAACTAATAGGCGCTTCATAAATGCCTATGGACTGACTGACTGACTGAATCAACAGCACACACTCCTGACCCAATGAGAACTTGTTCACTGCTCTTTCTCCCCCTCACCACTGGCTTCCAATAAACTTTACACTTTTTCTTCTTTCACAACATGAAAGCCTGTATCAAATTGCTTGCCGTCTTGAGGAGGGGGAAGGGGAGGGAGGGAGAAAAAAAATTGGAACTAAATTTTACACTTTTACCACTAAAAGAGTATAGGGTAGGGGGACAGCCAGGTGGCGCAGTGGATGGAGCTCCAGCCCTGGAGTCAGGAGGACCTGAGTTCAAATCCAGCCTCAGACAGTTGACACTTACTAGCTCTGTGACCCTGGGCAAGTCACTTAATCCCAGTTGCCTCACCAAAAAAAAAAAAAAAAGAATATAGGGTAGGGAAGAGAGGGAGAATGTCTTCCCCCAAGATCAAATGAGAATCACAATCATCCTGACTTTCTGTAGTATCTTCTACTCTTCCGTTTGTTTTTCTAGCACAAGTGGCTAGTTCAAGTTTACTCTTCATTCTTAATACAGTGTAAAGGAATTTTCAGTTATAAGCTAGATTTGAGAGAAATTGTACTTATAAGTTTGCAGTGATTTACTTATCTTGACACAGATTTTTGTTGTTAAGTCATTCAGTCTTGCCCAATTCTTTTTTTTTTTATTTTAATTTTCATTTTGGAGGCAATGGGGTTAAATAACTTGCCCAGGGTCACACAGCTAGCTAGTAAGTGTCTGAGGTCAGATTTGAACCCGAGTCCTCCTGACTCCAGGGCTGGTACTGTATCCACTGCACCATCTAGCTTCCCCTATGGTGAATAATATTTAAGTGAGTAAAATAAAATATACGGGATTACAAAGGAAACCAATTATATTGAAATATAGTTATCAAAAGATTTAAAGCCAAGTTCTAGATTAAGAACCCCTATTCTAGATACTCTCTTAATATCACTCTCTTTCCAAGCTTCCAGTCCTTCTCCTCCATCTGGACCCTTGGACATTGAGCTTTCCTATTCAAGGACCCAGAGTCCCGGTAGAAGTAGAGTCATTTAATCTCCTTATTTCCTTGTTCTAATTAGGCTTCTCCATATGTGGTGTATTTGATTGAAGTATTGGACTTGGAATTGGGAAGACCTGAGTTTAAATCCTGCCTCATACACTTAACTAGCTGTGTGACAAAAAGGCAAGACCTCTCTCCACCTGAGTTTTCTCATTTGTAAGATGGGTATTATTTTGAGATCAAATGGACATAAAATGGTTTTTGTTTTTTTTTTTTGGTAAGGCAGTTGGGGTTAAGTTGACACAGCTAGTAAGTGTCAAGTGTTTGGTCTGAGGCTGGATTTGAACTCAGATCCTCCTGACTTCAGGGCCGGTGCTTTATCCTCTGCGCCATCTAGCTGCCCCAATACATAATAATTTTTAAAATTATTTAAGATATCCATCCACCTCTATCATCTACAGTTACTTTGTGGAGAGTATGATGTTTCTGACACAGTGAACTCTCACTGAATTCCAAGTCTAATACACATCTACATTTTAAATATTCAGGATTGTTTTCTGACAAAAATGAATAATTGGTTGCTAATTGAATAAAGCATCTTAATTCTTCTTTTGCCTTTTCCTCTTCCTTTAGTTTTCTGCTGAACATGAATTTTACCTTAAGTGCTCTTCTTTAAAGAAAAAATTTGTGATAATCTTAATTTCAGCATGAAATGCCCAGCAGTGATGAGAGACAAAGATACTCAGAAGATGATTTCAAAGAGTTGAGAGCAACAAAAATAAAGCCTGAGCTGCTTAGTGGACACATCCCATCTGGACACATTCCTAAACCCATAGTGATGCCAGATTACGTAGCGTGAGTACATTTTCTGAAAATGACTCTTATAGAATAGAGTAAAGAGAAGAAGGAGGGGAATAGGATGGAGGGAAATACAGTTAACAATCATACCTTGAAAAAATTTGTGAAGCAGATTTCTCTGATAAAGGCCTCATCTCTTAAGTATATAGAGAAATGAGTCAAATTTATAAAAATAAGAGCCATTTCCCAAGTGACAAATGATCGAAAAATATGAAGTCAGTTTTCAGATGAAGTAATCAAAGCTAACTATAGCCATCTGAAAAATGCTCTAAATCACTATTGATTGGAGAAATACAAATTAAAATACTGTCAGATTGGCTAATAAGACAGAAAAGGAAAATGATAAATGTTGGAGGGGATATGGGAAAATGGTGACACTAATGCACCATTGGTGGAATTGTGAACTGATTCAACCATTATGTAGAGCAATTTGGAACTATGCCCAAATATTTATAGCAACTCTTTTCTGGTGGAAAAGAATTGGAAATTGAAGGGATGCCCATCAGTTGGGGAATGGCTGAACAATTTGTGGTATATGATTGTGATGGAATACTATTCTGATATGAGAAATGATGAGCTAGATGTTGTCAGAAAAACCTGGAGAGACTTACATGAACTGATGCGAAGTGAAATGAGTAGAACCAGGAGAACATTGTACGCTGTAACAGCAATATTGTAAGATGATCAACTGTGAATGACTTAGCTATTCTAAGTAATATAATGACCCAAGCCAACTCAGAAGGACTTAACATATCATCAAAAATGTTCTCCATCCCCAGAAAAGGAACTGATGGAATCTGAATATAGATAGAAGCATACTTTTTTACTTTCTTTATTTTTCTTGGGTCTTTAGTTTAGTCTATATTTTCTTTTACAACTTGACTAATATGGAAATATGTTTTGCATAATTACACATGTATAACCTATGTCAAATTGTTTGCCTTCTCAATGAAGGGGGTGGGAAGGGAAGGAGGGAATTTGGAACTCAGTTTTTAAAATTAATATTGAAAATTATTTTTACATGTAATTGGGGGAAGTAAAATATTAAATTAATTTTAAAAAAATAAAATGCCTCATATTAGAATTGTGATAAATTTCCATTTTGTGGTTTTCATTTTCTTCCCCACCATTTCTTTACTGATTTAGATATTAATTTGTTAGCTCGTTCCTTGACTTTAAGGTGCATAAATAGCAATTGTTAAAGAGCAGGCTGAAGCTACCATTTTTACTTGTCTTGGTATAGATTTACAGATCTGTGGGCTTTTTTTCCCTTTAGAAAGTACCCTGTGATTCAGTCAGATGATGAACGAGAACGCTATAAAGCTGTGTTCAAAGACCAGTTTTCGGAATATAAAGAACTGTCTGCTGAAGTCCAAGCAGTCCTCAGAAAATTTGATGAGTTGGATGCAGTGATGAGCAAATTGCCCCATCACTCAGAAAATAGACAGGTAAGAAGTACCTATGGACATCTGAAGAAAGAAGTTGATGATTATAGGTAGAAATGCAAATCACTTTAGAACATTCCATTTCTAGTTCTGTCCTCTGAGTTTAAGAAAATCATTTGAGGGGCAGCTAGATGGCACAGTGGATAAAGGATCAGCCCTGGATTCCCAGAAGACCTGAGTTCAAATCCTCAGACACGTAACACTTACTAGCTGTGTGACCCTGGGCAAGTCACTTAACCCCACTGCCTAGCCAAAAGAAAATCATTTGAATTATTTGATGGGGTGACTGGTCATGATGTGTTTTCAAACTACATCGTAAGGTTATGTGGCAAGATTAACCTCAGAATCAAATCTGTTATAATTTTTTTCATCAGTTATCCAGCTTAATTCACACTCATTTTTCCATTTAATTAAACTGCAAAAATATTCAAGCATTCAAACAACATAAAACCTGCTTTGTGCAAGTCACTGCTGGGTACAGTAGATACAAAGATCCTTACCTTCAAACAGCTTGTGGTCCATTAGTGAGAGAAAAAACTTGTACCCATATAACTACTCTAAAAATAGAATATAATAAGTGCATGAGAAGTAGTGTGAGAGTTCAGAGATAAAAGAGATCACATTCAGTTGTGGATGAGAAGCAAAAAGGCTTAAAGAAATCTTAAGGTACCACATACAGGCTGTACCTTAAATGATAGGTAAAATTGTAGGGGGCAGCTATGTGGCACAGTGGATAGAGTTCTGGCCTTGGAGTCAGGAGGACCTGAGTTCAAATATGCCCTCAGACACGTAACACTTACTAGCTGTGTGACCCTGGGCAAGTCACTTAACCCCGATTGCCTCACCAAAAAGCAAAAAAAAAAAAAGATTGTAGTTGATGGGAATTGAGTGGGCAGTGGGTGAGAGCATCTAGTCATGGGAGATTCTGTGAAAAGAGGTGCCAAGGGAGGACAGTGTAGAATGTATTCAGAGAATAGGGAAAAATCTCCTCAGTCCATCAACAAGCATTTATTAGGTGCTTCCTTTGTGCCAGGTGCTGTGCTGGGGTGGGGGTGGGGGAGGCAGTACAAAGACAAAAAGCAAACAGCCTCTGCCTTGGAGGAGTTAGAAGTATATGGTGGCCATTAGGGGGAGGCACCAGCCAACAGGAAGATAAGAAAAGGGCATGCTGGAGGTGATGTTTGAACTGAGCCTTAAGGCACATTCAGGATCCAGAGAAGGAGGGAGTGCATTCCAGGGTGGGGAATGAGAGGAGCTCCAAAATAGTCTGTATTGTGGAGGGTCTTAAGTGCAGCCCTACTGGGCAGCCTTTTACATTGCTCTTGGACTTTTTGTGCAGGCCAATTGTGAAGGGGATTTTCCTAAACCGATTCTGTGCAGAGATTAGAAAATTCTTGTTTAGGTGGCAGTAAGAGAAAACCAGATAGGACCTAGGGCCTAGTTAAGCAAAAGGGGGGGGGGGGGGGGGGGGGGGGGTCCTGTGTTAGGAATACAAGTCAGGATCAAGTTCAGGAGGTCCACTGATAGAAAGAGGAACAAGAATCCATCATGGTCGCAGACAGAGAAATTGAAAACAGTCTAAGAAGGCCACAAAGGTAATCATGGTTAAATAGCAGCAGGTTAAATAGTACCATGACTAGACTTAATTGATACAAGAAAGAGCTTTAGTGAGAGTTGGTATGGAATTAGTGAGTAGTGATCAAAAATAGAGATGAAAAAAAAGGAAAAGTCAATGATTATTTTTTCAAAAAATATGTGACGAGCAAAAGGAAGGGGACGTACACAAGCAAGGCAGTTTTGTTACTATGTTAAGTCCAGTATATCCTTTTTTTAAAAAAAGTAAAGTATACCCAGTGGATAGAGCACCAGCCCTGGAGTCAGGAGGACCTGAGTTTAAATCTACCTTCAGACACTTGACACTAGCTTTGTGACTCAGGGCAAGCCACTTAACCCCAATTGCCTGGACAAAAAAAAAAGTAAATTATAAAACAGAAGTGCAAGTTTCACCTACAATGCTATTTCCTATTCTTATTTGTTTATGGAAATGTTCACATTTGTTGTTTTTAAGTTTATAATTTTTTTAAAGGGAAAAAAGACTATCAGTAATAAATGGGTTGTACAGCAGTGGTTGCTCTCTTCTACTCCCAGCTAGGCATTGACTATTTTAACTGTTTAGTATTTCAGTGAGTCCTTAATCTCATCCACATGGATAGATCATAATTTACCCATACCTTCTTGGGTGTTGGTGTTCAGTCGTTTCAGTCATATCTGACTCTTCATGACCCCATTTGGGATTTTCTTGGCAAAGATACTGGAGTCACTTCCTTCTCCAATGTGTACCTGTTTTACAGATAAAGAAACTGAGGCAAACAGGGTTAAGTGACTTGCCCAGGGTCACACAGCTAGGAAGTGTTTTTGGCCAGATTTGAACTCAGGAAGATGAGTCTTCCTGGTTCCCAGCCCAGCGCTCTATGTAGTGTGGCACCACCTAGCTGCACTTCTTGGGCATATTCTCCGATAACTACTCCATGGGAGCCCTCCTTTTAGCCCTTTAACATTTCATGTGTACCAGTGCAGCACTGTGATTATCCATCTCAGCCCCACAAAAATCCTGTGTTGATGTATCATAAGACTGTGTGGGTCCTGGGGCCTTGAAGGCTGTGCCAAGGACATAGAAGCTCTGGTAACTTCTACCATGAGGGGAAAGTTTTTGAAAACAGGTGAGACTCTTTCACAGGGAAATGACTGTTTCAAGAAACTACAGCATGGCTTATTTCCATGGCTTATATTAGTCATTCAAAATTAAAATAGTACCAGTGCCCAAGGAGCTTATGAGATATAGCATATTTACAGATCAGTAAACACAGGATATATGCAAAATAAATACATAATAATGGGGGGAAGTAGAATGTCATAAATGACTCGGGAGAATCAGGAAAGATCTTGAAGGACGTGTTCCTGGAGCTGAGGTTTCTAAAAAGAAGACCTGAAGAAGGGAAGCATTCCAGGGATGGGGGACAGCCTGAAAAAAGGCCCAGAGATAAAAAACCATCTATGGCATATAGCAAGGAGGTGAGTTTGGAAAGCATGAGGGGGAGTAATGTATAATCAGCCTCAAAAGGCAGGTTGGAGATTATCAGTTAATTGTCAAGGGCTTTAAATGCCAGGCAGAGGTGTATATAATCTATCCTAAAGGTAGTCAAGTCACTGAAGATTCCTCACAGGAAGGGCCAAACTGAAAATCATCTTTGAGGAAAAGGCTGCTTTGCAAGAAGTTGCTTTGTTTTTATTTTATTTTATTTTATTTCATTTTATAATAAACTTGGATAATTTCCCATTTTCCCCATCTGTTAATATTAATAAACATCATTCTAAAAAAGTAGCTCTAGTTAGACATCATCTAAAATTAAGAAAATCTCCTCCAAATTACCTTACTTTGTCAGATCAGATTTTATACTAACTCTCTGCTTTTCTCTAGAGGAAATATTTAATTGGAGAAAGTCTTATCAAGGGTTTTAGCCATAGACAGGGCCTCTAATCTCTTCATTAACCACCCTACTCTCCCCACCACTACCACTACCTCCACCAATTAGCCATCTTAACAAAATCTTACACCAGAGATCATGTATGAAATATCAAATTCATCACTACTTAGGAAAAAATTCACAACACATAGTGACTGATGATGAATCATCCTTGCATTTTAAAAAAATTGCCTTGTAAAATTCTAACAGAAAAAAAAATTTTAAATGTGATGATAGAGCAAAAGATAGTTACGTATTACTATATATTCCCAAAAGGGCAGGTAGGTGGTGCAGTGGATAGATTGCCCAGCCTGGAGTCTGGAAGACTCATCTTTATGAATTAAAATCTGCCCTCTGGATACTAGCTGTGTGACCCTGGGCAAGTCACTTAACTCTGTTTGATTTGGTTTCCTCATTTGGAAAATGAGCTGGAGAAGGAAATGGCAAACCACTTCAGGATCTTTACCAAGAAAACTCCACACATACACACAGGCTCAGACATGACGGAAAAATTTCAGAACAACAGGGAATTTTATTTCTCTTCCGTGTATCCTCAGGCAGAGTTTACCCTGACCATAGTCAGTACTCAGTAAATGTTTGCAGGAAAATTAGAAAACTTCTAAAACTAAAGGTTTTATATTTCATTTTTTACTTAATATAATTATATGGTTGGGAGAAGGGATGTCATGCAATTGCTTTTGTTATAACCTTAGTAGAAAAAAATTTTTCAATTCTAATTTCCACCTTATTTTGGGAAGTTTATGAGTTGAGTGAAAGAAAGTTCTTATATCCAATTTTATAATCATATTTTTAGGAACATGAAAGAATTTCAAAAATTCTTCAAGAATTCAGGAAGAAAAAGAATGTAAGTATATCTAAATTTTCACTACTCTAATTTCACTGCTACTGAAGAGCCAAGTACCCTGGCTTTTAGGGCAACGACTGTGTGGTAGTATAATTACTTGTATGTGATTTAAAGCCAGATTATTTAGGGGAGCAGGTAGTGCGTATTCTTACTCCCTCCCTTTCTTGGCCAAATTGTAGCGCATCCTGGTTGAATAACTGAGGTTTTGATGGCCTCTTCCCAAATTCTTTATCCGTTCTTCCTTCTTCTGAGAATGAGAGTCCTACAGTTCCAAAGGACTCATAATGAAAAATGCTGTCCACCTCCAGAGAGAGAACGGGTCAACTCTGAGCGCAGATTAAAGCATGACGTCCTTCTCTTTCCTTCTTTTTCTTGATTTTTTTTTTAACAACACAGCTTATAAAGCAATGTGTTTTGCATGACTTCATATGTCTAATTGATGTCATGTTGCTTACTTTCCCAGTGGGTGGAGGAGGGATTGCAAGGAGGAGGAGAATATGGAACTCAAAATTTAAAAAAATGAATGAGGATCCAGGCCCTCTCCATCATTCTTCTTTCATCCCCTACTTAATCTCATAGTACAGTAGAGAGAAGTTTTATCAACTCTTTTATATTTCTTCATGTTTCTGATGCATGAGTAGAATAATAGCTTCTAAGCATCTGGTGCTTTACAGTTTACAAAGAGCTCACTTTACAACCTTATCTCTATTTTATTGATGAAGAAACTAAGAATCAGAGGGGTTAATGACTTGTCCAGGGTCATAAGCGGGTAAATAGCAAAATCTTCACTTGGATGCTACAGGTCTCCTCATTCTTAATTCACTATTCTGTGCATTAGACTGCCCTCTCTTCATAAAAGGCAGGTACCTCAAAAATTATTAGGTTAATTATAAATAGTCTTTGATAGACATTGGGATGCATTTATAGGAAGTTAATTCTAAAAGGTGTTTTTCCAGACACATCATTATATGATTACATTTGCTTTTGTCTTTCCTTGTCTCAAAGAAGCCAAAAAGAAGGTTTCTTTAATCATGAAGTATGTGATGTCTTTCTTACAGGATCCTACATTTTTGGAAAAAAAGGAACGTTGTGAATACCTGAAGAGTAAGCTTTCTCACATAAAACAAAGAATTCAGGAATATGATAAAGTTATGAATTGGGATATACAAGGTTTTTCCTAAACCTTATCAGAAAACTATTTTTGTATGGAAATGTGTTTAATATTTATTTACTGCCATGTCTTTACCAATTTCATGATATATCTAAAATTGGTTGCTATTGGGAACTAGCTTTTGACCATTTTAATCTGTATGAGTGCTAAAAGGTTTGTTTCCATTCAGATACCTCTAATTTCAAATTCAGTATGTGCCTTTATTTAGAATTAATTCATTTCTGAAAAAAATTATGCCTATTTCTCTTTAGAAAGTACCCTCAGGGAAAGTGATATAGGAATAATGTCTCTTAATAGGGGAAACCACTAGGATATTCTTAGTAGTATTTGCATTGTCACACTGCTATCCATTGGGTTTTCCATTTCCTAAAAAGATGAATTTCTTTTCCTAACCAAAGTTGTCATCTGCTTCCATGAATGGAAGAAATACAAGGCATCCTTGTTACAGAGTTCCTTAATCAGCAAGCCTAAATAGCCAACCAGAAAGCTCTGATACTGTGAATTCGCATTTTATGCTCTTAGGCCTTAACTTTCAAGAACAAGAAAATATGAAATATCGAGCAGAGAAAAAAACAACCTTTAACCTACTCTGGGGTGATGCCAACAAAGGGCCCAAGACCCTGTGGTCATTGGGGCCATGCAGAGGATCCCTCACGTCTGTCCTTCAGCTAGCTAGGTCCTCCCTTTCTAGCCTGACTTTACGTAAGTCTCCTTCATGCACTCCAGCCAAACTGGATTAGCTGTTCTCCACACTCAGCTGTGCATTCTAGAAATCTATACTTTCCCACAAGACATTCCCCAGAACCCGGAATGTGCTTCCTCCTCATTTCTGTCCTGAGAATCCTCATGTTTAATGGCTACTTTCGGACACCAGGCCTTTTACCCTCAAGCTCAAAGTGCTCTTTCCTTCCTCTGACAACTCCAAAGCATTTTTTCTGACCCTTTCTTTTGCCCACATCATGTCCTACCTTTTCTTTATCTGTATACATATTGTATTATATTTGTCTGTGTACATGTTGCCTTCTCCCCATCCTTTCACCCTATTAGAGAATAATCTGATGAGCAGGGTCTCTGTCTTTGCATCCCCCCTGCCTGGGACAGTGCCTTGTCCAGAATGGGTGCTTCCTAGATGTGAAAATCATTGAATAGGAAGAATGGGTAGCACCTGGTCTTCACAATTCAGACTGTCTTCTATCCCTAGTGGCCCCATGGGACTTTGGGTATGAATATTTTACCCTCCCCTTCCTATACCTCCAATAGTCTATGATATTCCAAGGTCCATATTTTCACCTTAATCTGGAATCTTCCAAGTAGTAAAGATTCTTCTGATTCCATTCAGACATATGTGTGTGTGTACATCAGAGTGAAATGACTTGGAACAAGTGAAATAAATGCTTCATTCATGAGAACCTTAATATTCTTAGCAAAGGCACAAAAATGAATTGTGGGAGCTTTTGTAATGTTAAAATTATTATTTGATCAATATCGAGCAATAACTCTTGAGTCCAGTGTGACCCTTCCTGTCCCATGCACTTGGCCATCTGTGAGTAGCCCCTCGCACAGAGTAGGCAATGAAAAAAATACTAGTCAAATTGAATTTTTTTATAAAGTTAGTTTATCACTTAAGCTTATACTTTGAATGTTCAAGATTACTGCTGGGAGAAAAAAAGCACATATAGAAAGTGTGTTATTTGCCTTAAAGAGTTTCCTTTTTCATTATTAACAAAGTAATCATTAGTGTTTATTTGTTGGTATTCTGTTAAAATGTAAACTGTTAGATAATAAAATCAAGAACTAGAAATATTAACTGGATAAAAATTTGTATTACAGTTGTAAATATTAACCTATGAAAGTCTTTTAATTTTGTAACTTTTTTTTACATGTCCATACCTCAGGATATTAAAAATGTTATCTGTTACCATATGTGTACCTATTCATTGTTTATCTAGGACTTTTTTGTTTATTGGGTATTCTGCTACTTGGAAAAACAACAAATATATTAGAAAAAGAACTGGAGGAGGAATCTGAGATTGTAGGTGCTCCTTCGATGTCATCACTAGTTTTATTTTTGCCTTCCCCATCCTGTGAAGCTGCTGGTCAGAACCACCTTCTGCTTGTTAATAGGGTTCCTCAGTAAAGAGCATCCCACTTCCACCTTGCCTGGTTCTTTTTCTCCCCCTAAGTTTTCAGGTTTAGGACTTACAAATTAAAATACATGCTGGCATATCAATAGTTACTGCCTCCAAAAAGTCTGAGGGATCAGTATTGACATATATGACTATTGGGTGCATGTCAACAGCAGCAATTTATAGAGTCAACAATTTCACTTTGATAATAATGGAAGGAAGGAAGGAAAGAAACAAGCATTTATTAAGTAACTTTGTGCCACACACTGGGCTCAGCACTTTACAAATATTATCTCATTTGATGCAAACCTGAGAGGTAGGTGCTATTATTATTATTCGCTTTTTACAGTTAGGGAAACTTAATAGCATTTATGTAGCACATTAAGGTTTGCAAAGCGTTTTACAAATATCTCATTTTATCCTCACAATTCTGGTATTTAGGTGCTATTGTCCCCATTTTAGAAATGAGGAAACTGAGGCAGACAAAAATCAAATAATGTGCTTAGGTTCCCACAGCCAGTAAGTATGTGAGGCCAGATTTTTAACTCGAGTATTTTTAGCTCTAGGTTCAACACTCATCCATAGCACCACTTAACTGCCTCTTAATTTGACTGAATTGCACTGAATTTCATCAAAAGATGAAAAACATAAGGAACGGCCCTTCAGGCTTTTATTACTTGATTTGTGTAAGTACTTTTAATGACTTATAATCTTTTTAGATCCTTGGAGTCAGGAAGACCTGAGTTCAAATGTGGCCTCGGACACTAGCTGTGTGACCCTGGGCAAGTCACTTAACCCTGTTTGCTTCAGTTTCCTCATCTATCAAATGAGCTGGAGAAGGAAAACCTCAAATGGAGTCACAAAGAGTTGGACACGACTGAACAAATATTTTTAGATCATCTGCTTTATTAGGTAAAAGGAAATCAAAGGTATCAGATATGCACCAAATGAGGTGACTCTGTAACTATCTTAAATGGAACAAGACAGCAGTTTAGCAAGTCTCATCCAGATGATTATGTATAATTATGGGTAATCTACATTTCAACAGGCACCATATAATACTTGCACTTTCAATGGTGGAAGTATGTGTGGCATTTAAAGGTGGTTGAGAGGTCCGCTAAGATGTTAATTAAACATTGCATTGTTCTGGGGTCAGTCCACTGGACTGGGGCTTGATTTTTCATTCTTCCATTAGCTCATCTTCAAGTAGTTTGTATTTTTTTAACTCGTAATTGGCTTTTAAGTACTTTTTTCTGGAACTTGCTGATAATCAAGTGTCATCTTAGCTTGCTTGTCTAATAGAGCTTTAAGATGTTTACAAGCACTTTCCTTATAACCTGTTGCAGTGGATAATGCAGATATTAACTGAGAAACTGAGGCTCAAGGTGTTTTGATCACAAAGAGAATGAATAGGGGCAGCCAGGTGACACAGTGGATAGATAGAACACAAGCCCTGGAGTCAAGAGGACCTGAGCTCAAATCTGACTTCAGACATTGCTAGCTGTGTGACCTTGGGCAAGTCACTTAACCTCGACTGCCTCCCAAAAATAAAAAATACATTTTTAAAAAGAGAGGGAATGAATGTCAATGCCAGGACTTTTCCAAGTGCAGTGATTTTCTTCTTGTATACCACACTAGTTGCCAGTAATCTTTGCCATTAATGGCAATTTCATTTATGGTCTTAAATGAATAGATAACCATTTATTTATAATGGATGGATAGTGACTTAAATGTCCTGTAGATACTAAGGTTATTTGTATAGTACTAAGCCCATAGTAGGGGCAGCTAGGTGGATATGGAACCTCGGATAGCTCAAAACTCTTGGTCTTGAGCAGCAGCTAGGTGGTGCAGTAGATACAGCACTGGCCCTGGAGTCAGGAGAACCTAAGTTCAAATTCAGCCTCAGATAATTACTAGCTGTGTGTCCCTGGGCAAGTCACGTAACCCTATCTGCCACAGTTCCTCACATTGGTGGGCACACACTAGAAAAGTAAATGGCAAACCACTTCAGTATCTTTGCCAAGAAAACTGCATGGACAAGAGTCTGTGGGTTCACTGAACAACAACAACAAAGCCCACAGCAGGAACTCATTACATAGTTGAGAGCACTGGACCTGAAGTCAGGAAGACCTGAATTCAAATCCAGCTCCTGACACTAGCTATGTGACCTTGGACAAGTCATTTAATCTTTGCCTCTGTTTCCTCATCTCTAAAATGGGAATAATAGCTATTCCAAAGTCATTGAAAAAGTCAAATGAGATGTACAAAGAGCTTTGCAAACCTTAAAGTGCTTATAAATGCTAGCTATCAATAATAATAATTATTATTATTATAATAGCTAACATTTGTACATGGGCCAGGCACTGTGCTATGTGCTTTATATTATCTCATTTGATCCTCACTACCCAAGGAGGCAGGTGTTGTTATCTCCATTTTACTGATGAGCAAACTCAGTCAAACAAGTTAAGTGAACTTGCTCAAAGTTACATAGCTAGTGTCTGAGACTGGATTTGAACTCTGGTTTTGACTTTTGACTTCAGGCCCAGAGCTCTATCCAGTGAGCCACCTAGACATTTTTTTTTTCCTGCAGTATAACTTTTTGGGGACTTTGACGAGGAATACAACTGTAATTTTTGGGTTTGGAGAATTCCTGATGTGGAAACTCCCTCTGCTAATACAAAGCAGTACACTAACAGCACATTTTTTATATACAAACTTAATTTTTAAATTATTGGAGATCTGGTGGGCACAACCAGTTACATAAACTGGTACTTTACTCCTATTTGAATCTATTCCCTTGTGTTTAGCATAGTACCTCGCACATAATAGGCATGATAGTCAGCCAAGGACTGTAGACATGTGAGCTGGAGAAGAATATACTATTAGGAAAAGAATGCACAGGCTCCCAGCCCCCTACCTTTTACCCCTTTACCCAAAGCAGGAGAAAATGTGTTCTTAGTATCCCAAAATGGAGATGGGAATTTTTTTTCTCATAGAAATGATGTTGCAAATAATGGTTACTTTGCAATGTTATTAGCACAATAGTTCAACTATGCTGTGCAAAAGAGACATTTGTGGACTTTCTGGATACCTAACCACCATGGATAAGATTATTTGTATGGTAAAATGTGTTACAAATTCCAGACAACTAATTTACAAACTAACTTTTGGTGTGCAATCCAGTTACAAGGTGAGAACTACCCATATTGTCTTGGGAATCTTACTGTCATGATTCTAGCTAAGAAAACACATTATGCTCACTATTACAATTCTCCATATTTGTTGGAGAATAATAATGCTCCTTAAAATTCAAACATTCCAGAAGACTGGGTGAAAAAGTGATGCAGGTATATAGCCTACCTCGTTTCTTTTTTTAAATTTTATTTTTGAAGTCTTTTTTTTTTTTTAGGATTACATTTATTTCTGAACATAGCCTTCTCCCTTTATCTCCTGAGTGAACTAGCCCTTGTTACAAACATTTTTTGAATGGGGGCAGAGCCCAGGAAGCACTTTAAGAAAACAACACATTATGGCTTGCTGTATATGCAATATACCACACCTATGGGTCCCCAACCATGAAGGGGATAGGGGGGAATGTGCTTTTTACAATTCTTTGTAGGGCCAATCTTGGACATTATAATTACATCTTACATCTAGTCTGATAGACACTGTAAGAAAGATAGCAGCAGAGCAGCTAGGTGGCGCAGTGGATAGAGCACCGGCCCTGAATTCAGGAGGACCTGAGTTCAAATGTGGCCTCAGACACATAACACTTACTAGCTGTGTTGACCCTGGGCAAGTCACTTAACCCCATTGCCTAGCCAAAAAAAGAAAGAAAGAAAGAAAGAAAAGACAGCAGTGTACTGAATAAGGTGTTGTACTTGGATACAAGAAGCACTGGGTTCTAATCCTGTCTCTGACATTGTCACCATTGGTAAGTCAATTTCTAATACTCATAAGTTATTTATTGATGACTTTTCCCTCTTCACTATTTCATTCACATTTATAAAACAGTCCACAAATAAATGGATTTGCAAAGTTTTACACAAAGCATTTGTATTGTACAAATATCTTAAGCCACATCTTGTTCCTTATAGAGGTAAGAATTTCCATTGCTTGCACATACAAAGCTAAAAAATTTATCTTTTCAACATCAATAGTTCCCCAATGATGCAGCATAAATGGGAATTGTGCAATACTACAGTCACATGAATCAAATCACTAATGACCCAAAAGGCAATGGAAACACTGTGAGTTGGCTGGAACAATTTACCGATGTTGACTGGCACTGAGCCGTGGTATTCCACTGACCTGGCTATGAATTCCTTGAGGGCAGAGACTTTCTCACGCTTGACTTGGCATCCTTGGCACTTAGCACAGGATCCATCACCTAGAAACCACTTAATAAATACTTGTTGAATTGAATCAAAGAGTATGTGTGTATGTGTGTGTGTGTGTGTGTGTGTGTGTGTGTGTGTGTGTGTGTGTGT